CCCCAAAACCCCAAAACCCCAAAACCCCTAGAGTTTTAAAACACGCAATGAATTGGAAATAAAATTTTCACATATATTTTTAATAATATAATTAAATACAAAGAATAATTAACATAGCTAGATCTTAAATGTTAACTTCCAATGATCATGGCTAATAACCAATGCTAAAATCTAAAACTAAAGATTTAAATTCCCGCAATCAAAGACCATCTGATCTAAATGGGAACCAATCGACTAAAGACTCAGCTAAACAAAAGAAAAAGTAATCAAAGGTTCAAACTAGCTCTTCAAATAATGGCTTAGCAATAGGTTATATGTCTCCAAGATAATAAAAGCTACAGTAAAGTTAGCTTATTAAATGAGATACCTCGAATGAAAGCAAGCCAAGAAAAGATATAATATCTATGAATAGTAATCTAAGTATGAAGAATAATTAGATTCAGGATTACAAAGCCAAGTTCAAGCCAGTAATTAAAAAGGTTAAAAATATTTAGAGAAATGCCTGTGATCTGAAAGTTGGAGGAGGCGGTAGTGATACAAAGGACAATAATGTTAATCATGTGCCATTTTAGAGTAGGCAGTACAATTAGAGTGTAAATAATGTAGTTATTACTGATAGAACAGATTTCTCTCCCAAACCCCAAGCACGTTCAGAGTTGAATCCTTATCAAGATTCAATGGTATAATAAAACTCCAAAACTAATAATAAAGAGTCTCTTTAAAAATCATCTAGTTAGGGAAAATTCTTGCATCTGTTTAAGGCAAAGATAGATGAGCAAAGAGAAAAAAGACATTAAAGCACTAATAGAGACATTATAGCTTTTACAAGTTCAAAAAGTAAACACAGATTCTTATCTGAGGGTCGAAAGTTTACTGAGATACACAGCAAAAGAATGCTTTATGAAATTAAAAAATTCAAGGAAATTATTAAGTAAAGGTTTGAAACAAGTTCGATTAATAACTATGTGTTTCCAAGATAATAGCCTATGATCCGTTTAAAGAGTTAATCTCCGAGATAATCACCGAGATAATCTCTTCAAGTACAATAAAGCTTCATGTCAAATAGAATATCGCTTAAATAAAACAACTTTGTTGCCCAGCATCTTAGATCTGAATCACATGACAATCAAATTGGAGCAGTCATTTCAATTCATATAGATGAAATACAAGATATTCCTCCTCATATAGAAAGTGAGATTGCTTTAAAATAGATGCATAGATCTGAATCTCAGGGTTTAAAATCTAATATGCAGTCATTTCAAGAAACTAGAATAAATAGCTCTTAGCTGAATGATAGAATTATGTAAAATATTTTGAAAAATAAAACACAACATCAGAAATTGTTGTTTAAAACTCCTCAAAAAACTGATCTAATAATGGATTTTAAAGAGAAAAAGACGACTCCCTTTGCTGGGAATCGTTTGAAAATCAATAATGATTACTATGATTAAGCCGACACATCTTAAAATAAAATGCTAGTACTTCCTAAAACTACAACACCAAAGCATCAAGTATAGAGTAATAAAGAAAGCTTGCATTCTAGTGTAGTTGCCAATTAATAAATGGTTGGAGTCTCTCCAAAAGTAGGCTTAAGACATATATCTATTTCTTAGAAGTAACACAATCTTAATTAGAAATTGTAAAGATTAAACCCAATGGCTTAAATGATACAGAATAGTGTACTTATCCATAATTCAAATTAATCTATGGCTGAAAAACAAATTAAAAATTTAAGGACTAGATTAAGTGGAGATGTCAATTAAAACAATACTAAGACTAACAATAGTTCAAGATAGAATGATGTAAGAAAGATGAAATCTGATAGAATTAAAAAGAATGCTTAAAATACTTAGCCTGGTGATTTAACGTAGAATCTTATGTTTAGAACAAACATTGAGGACTAGGGTAGAGAAAATCAGTTTTTGTCAAGTACTTAGAAAAATCTTAAATAAAGACCAAGAAATTAATCTATAGATGAAATAGAGTAGATTATCAAGAAAAGTTCAAGTGAGTTGTCTCTTAAGAGATCAGATTCTGCTTCTGGAATGAAATCACACAGATATAAAAATCAGAAGTCTGTTAAGGACTTGAAATAAATATATGGACATCAGGTGTAATACTTAAAAGTTGACCTATCTTTTAGTTAGAATAACAGTAATATACTCACAAATTAGAATATACTTCCATAGCAATATAATAGCAGCTACAGTCATCAGTAAACTAAAAATACAATTAATTTAGGAGGGGTTAATGGAATTTCGCAGGCCTAGAAAGTCGCCAAATTGAGTATAAAGAAAAAGCAATTATGACTGAGTTAGTTAAGCTTATATAAACAAATTAAATAAAATTATCTCAAACATAAAGTCTCTGTAAAGTAAGCAAAAATTTTGAGAAATCCACAAACTAAGCATTCCTAAATCCAAATTACCTTTGGGTTTATTGAATGTTTTCTTAATTTATGTCACAACTGAAATATTCTCATCATAATTGCTTTCATAATTTTACTGATTAATCACTGCTCTTCATCAACACGTTTCTTTTGTTGGAAAAACAATAATTACTCAGCAGCGTCTTGGGCCTCACCCGCCTCCCATAGGAAATCTAGCTGTATTTCTATTTAGATTCAATCCTCTAATATTTCTTCCAGGTCTAAACTAGGGTCTATCATTAGAATTACTTGATCCTCCTCCAGAGTTTCCTCCGAATCCACCTCCACCGCCCCCACTTCCTGGGCCTCCTCCACCTCCACTTCCTTTATTACTCGGTCCAGCTCTTAAAGGTTAGGCGTCCTTTTTATCGACGTATCTGGGATCTTTGCTAAACCAAGATGCCATAAATAGCATAAGAATTTCCCATATTTAAAGAATCCAATGCCAAATTTTGTAGAGAAAACTGGCTTCTCCGTAGACTCTTACCATTATTATAAAAATATACTATAGTTTTAAAGTATTTCAATACTCATTAATTTTCTAGAAATTTTTTCATTACGGGGTTTTGGGGTTTTGGGGTTTTGGGGAGATCGGAAGAGCGTCGTGT